GAACCCACTGCTGGCTTATGAAATATAAAGGCTTATGCAAACATGGCACGTACTCAAGTAGACTAGTTTGTTTTTAAATATTTTAATAGTGTGCACTGCTGTGTTAAGAACTAAATGTGCATTGTGTCCAATCTCACACTAAGTATATACTCTATTTTGATCATCCTATCAAAAAGATCAAAATGTAAATACCATGTAAATTATATTTTGTACATGTCCTCCTTTGCATGAAAGCAAACAGAATACTTATTTCTTCTCTAAACACATGAGAATATCAACAAGCAATGCAACTAAACCCAAGAAGTATTCACTGCCTCATTCCATTAAAAAAAGATGCCCTCAGGTATCAATTACAAAGAGCATGCCTGTGCGTGTGCTTTCAAATGTTTAAGCACAACGTTAATATTTATTTCAAAGGGTCTCAAGCTAATTATGCATACTACTGTCTAAAAGAAAATACCATATAAGTACTCTGCCTGAAAACTCTCTTAAGAGACTATCTACGCCAAGAGAATTGAATGCCTGATAGTGAACTTGTGGTAACCAGGAAAAGTTGAACTTTTCCTAACAACTAAATGTAAACTATCCACCTTAATTGGAACCTAAAATAAAATATGCACACATTTGTATACAAGCCCTACCCCCAAAACTAAAAAAGTCAATCTTAGGACAATGAAAGAAATGTAGTTTAAACATGGACCAAATATAAAAACTATGAATTTTATTTTCTTACACATGAAAATGGTTCTGTGATTCTTGAAGAAAATACCTTTGTTCTTAGTGCATGATATCATGTTTAAAGATGAAACACGACAAAATATGAAAGTGGCCAATGGCCTAACAATATTTAAAAATGTATAGAATTAGATGTATAAGGAAAAGTATGAAGTAAAACTGGCAAAAGGTTAATAAAAGTTGGGTTCCAAGGGAGAAACACACAGATGGCCAATGTAAACTCTGTCCCCCTTACCTGTGATGGCCACATCTGCACCTTCAACTGCTCACAGATGAAAACTACTGGAAAAGATGTTTCTATACTAAACATGTGCAGGCCTTTTTCCTGTCATCATTCCCTAAACAATACAGCCTGAGAAGTATTTGCATAGCATTTACATTGTGCTTGTATAAGTAATTTAGAGGTGACATATATAGTGTATGGGAGGACATGGGCAGGTTATATGCAAACACATCATTTTCTCTAAGGGCCTTGAGCATCTATGGATATTGCTATAGAGAGAGGGGAGGGGTTGCCGCCAATACTAAAGAATGACTGCATTCTTCTTTTAAGATTCTCATATTGAAAAGTGACATATGAGCATATGTGTCCATCAGCTACTGAACCCAACCATGTACAGAAAAAATGTTGCTTTCCATGGACAGACAGAAAACGCTTCATTTTCCTGTAGCTAAATTCATTAGAGAATCGATTTTCCACCACTGACCCAGAGAAATTATGGCCACCTTCTGTCGGAGGCTATAGGGAACAGATGACTGACAAGCACCACCTGAATGAGAGCAGATGCATGGGATCCCCAGAGGGTAATCCACATGGACCAGATCACATGGCAACACATGCCCTTAGAAAAACATGGGCTGAAAACAGCAGACAACTCTGAGCCTGAAGACATCATGGCGGGCAGAACCTGCAACTCATGAAGCCTTATTTTCTGGAGAAAGTAAGCTAAGATAGGGTTCGAACCTGATCTAAATTAGTCAAAAACAAAACATCAGCTCTCTCATTCACCCAAGAAAGAGAGATTCCTACTTTCCTTTTAGCTGTTCAATAAAGTGAACTGCCAGGTTCAATAATAAACAAAAGAGCCAGGTGGGACTCTAAAACTTCTAGTTCAAATTACTAGCAAAGTGCTAGAATCATCAGAAACAGAAAACCTGTAAATATTTAATTTAGAGATATCTAAAATTAGTAAGAACCAATACTCAAGCCTAGAAATCTCACAGCAGGGTATTTCCTATTGATGGGGTATTTTTGTTTTAGAGTCCAAATCCCAGTGTTTCTTGGCACTAATTCACTGTTAAGTTATAGTTCAGACCAGCCTTTCCCAACCTGTTCAAACCTTGCAGGACTCTCTGGAACTCTTTCACAGAGCTGAGCTAAGCAGTAAGGGCTGAACTTTTGAGTGGGCCCAGAACAATGATTTCACTTGCTTCTCACTATTCCTTTAGAATGAACGTGTCTTTGTGCACAAGGGTGTGTATGTGCTCGCTTGCAAGTGTGTGTTCATATACATGTGGGTACATGTATGTCAGCATGCATGTGAAGACCAGAGGTCAACCACAGGTATCATTGCTCAGAGTTGTCTACCTTGTTGGTTTTCTAAATGGGGTCTCTCATTAGCCTAAAGCTCAACATGTGTACTAAACTGACTGGCCAACAACTTTTCATGTGGTTTCCAGGGAAAGAATTCAGGTCCTCAAGACTGTGTACAAGCACTTTACCTACTGAGCTACCTCCCCAGACTTCTTTCTTTCTGTTCTTTCTTTTTTAATTTCTTTCCTTTCTCAGTCAATTTCTCCATCTCTTTTGCAATTGTTATTCTCTCTTTTTTTCAGTTTTTCCCCCTAAACCCTAAAGGCTCTCTGGGGAACCCAAAAGGCATTGTTATGGATTGGGTTTAAACTCCAGGCAGTAGAGCTATAAAGGATTCTTCCTGATCCTGGATGGCCCATAAAGCTGGGACCACTAGGCCACAAGCTAAACAGTTAAGGGAAGGATCGTTGACTCTCCTTTAATTAAAGAACAATCACCTTGTTATTGTTGTCAGTCCCTCATCCTCTCCTTGCTGTACCTACCTTTGAATTGGAACCAGTTGTTTGTCCTTCTTAAGGAAGCAGAAGACCATGGTCCCCATAATCTCATTTTTGCTTTAGATTTTCTCAGTAAGGTATGGGGTCTGAGAGGGTTAAAATCGGTTTCATAGAATATCTGTGCACTATGCTTATGCAAAGATGCCCTGAATTCTCTTCAGTCCTCAAAATTTTAATTTCTTGGAAAGTATCTGTCTACTTGTGAGCATTGAACTAGACCAGAAAAAAAAATCAAGAAATGCTACAAAATAGTTGTTCAACTATGAAAAGATGTGTTGTATTTGTTTATATTGTGGAATATTTGTTTAATTATGTAAAGATGTATTGCTGTTTTACTTTGCCTGTCTAAGGCACCTTACTGATCTAATAAAAGGCTGAACAACCAATAGCAAGGGAGCAGGGACTTCCAGGCAGGCGAAGTAAGTAGGAGGAGGAATTTAAGGGGACACCAGAGGAGAAATTTAAGGAGACAGATATGGAGGAAACAGGAAAGTAGGGCATACAGAATGAATAAAAGGTAAAAAGCCCCAGCAAAATGTAAATGAATAAAAACAGGTTAAATTAAGTTAAAAGAGCTAGTGGAACAAGCCTAAGCTAAGGCCAAGAATTCATAATTAATAATAAGTCTCTGTGTCTTTATTTGGGAGCTGGTTGGTGGCCCAAAGAAAACGCCAACTACAAAGAAAAACAAACAAACAAAAAAACCCTATAATTCTCTACCATACTGTATGTGTACCTGTTTATATGTGTGTGAAACATAAGTGAACACTCAAGAAAACTAGAAGAAGATACCAGTTGTCACTCTCTACCTTCTTCCCTTAACATAGAGACAATTCCAATGGAACCTGCCTAAGCAGACAGCCAGTCAGCCCCAGTGATCCCTATCTCTACTCCCCAAAATGCTGAGGTTATGGGCACTAATGCTTATGTTGCAAGTGCTCTTACCAACCAGGCCATCCTCCCAGCCCCTAGATATTTTTAAAGTTCTGCACCAGAGGTCTGAGCACACTGTTTGACAAATATCTGCTGACCCTGTATCTGATGTATTCCCTGTACAAGATGAAGACAGCCAGACCCTCTGTCCTTCAGAGACCTGTGGAGCTGTTTCAAACACTCTGGAGAGGAGCAGGTTCTGCCAATATTCTGCTAAAATGTTAGTGTCTGTCCACAGGTCTCTGAGCCATCTCTACGTCTGGCCATCACCCTGGGAAGAGGAAGGATCCACAGTCAGGACTAAAAGCCCACAGTGAAACCACTGTGCGACGGGAGAGATGCTCGGGAGAATAAAGCAGCCCAGGTCCCAAGGCAACGAGAGAGCCCTTTGAGGTTCTGCTCAATGTGGAGCCACTTGCAGCCTCTGGATGTGATCTGAGCCCCATTCTGAAGCTTAGTTCCTCCATTTAGTTTCATTACCTGTTATGGAGGGTGTCAAATTATATCTCCACCTACTCATAGGGTTTTAGTAAAGATTAAATAACTCAGTGTTTGTAAAGTACTCTAAGCATGGCCTGACTTGTGGTAAACACCGGGTCAATGATAGCTAATACTGCCTAGAACATGCCCTCAGAGAAGCCTGTCAAGGAAAGCTCCACTGCTTCATTTCCCCATCTACTACTGCTGAGTAACCAGAAGTACCCTGTCCCTCACAGAAGGTCCACCACAGCAGGTCCAATACCAACCAGGTAGGAATCACATCTTAATTCTTCCATTTCCTGTTCAAACCCCAGAATAACCAGAGCGGTCTCAGTGAAGACCAAGCAAATGAGAGCTCCTTCCCTAGCAACTAGGTTCAGATATAAAACTGCAAGATAGCAACATCCTATGATTAAAATGGAAATTGACATGCGATTAAAATGGAAATCAACCTGGCATGCATGTCAGAGCCCACACATTCTCAGTGGGTAAGTTCTGGAGCTTCTAATAAATGTCCCTAAGTCTGAAATGCTGTGAACTCCAAAAGCTAACCTGGTGGAAAAGTCACACAAATTACCCTACACTTTCACAGCAACCTTCAACATAGTAAGTGACCAGAAAGTCTATGGCATAAACAGGTCACTGGCCACCTGCACACCTGGGTGGCACAGTGAGTCAATTCTTCAGAAGAGGCATGTCTACTAACTTAAGCTCTCTCTCATGCTGGGCTACACCTGGCATAGCTCACTGGCAATACTTACGCATTGCAATAGGGTTTCTTTTCATAGCCTTTGTAGTTGTTCATGTTGAGAGCCATCTTGCAGACCTCGCAATGGAAGCATCCTTTATGCCAATACTAAGAAGGGAAGAAAAACATAAACAAATACTTAACATTTCATTGCAATACCAGTTCTGGACAGAACGGGCAGGAAAGGCAAAACATATGATAACACTACCAGGAAATAACCCTAGGTAGTACCACACATTTATCTATTTCCAGTTCAGCAAAGAACTCAGACAGCTATTAAAGTTCATTTTTAAAATTAATCCCACAGCTACAGACTCAAAATGAAAGAAATGCCAAGGGTCTATCCATATTACAGCCAAAAAGGAACCCTGAAGTCAGTTAATAGAGAAATGGGGCTGGTGGTGTGACTTTAAAAATAAAAGAGGTTCTCTTTCCAAATGCCTAAATGTGTTTGTAGGATTTTCACACACGTGTCCACCGGAAGTCAGACAACCCACAGTAGCAGAGGTGGACTATTTAAGTACCCTTGTCCTCATCCCCGCCCAGCTTCCACTAAATTGCAAAACGCTGTCTCTGTCTGGGAGACGGCTTACTCTACAGAGGCATTTGTAACACCAAACGCAAATTTCACTGGGACTGCCTACAGCTGGTTTCAATTGTCAGTCACCGGGGATGGCGCTGTCTGTCTCCTAGGTTGTTCAACTCCATCCACACCCAGCAAGGGCAGCGCTGCTGCGACCTGGCTAAAGCCACTTCCTCTGGAATTTACCCTGGTGGAGTAGGCGCCCGTGGGTCAGCTTGCTACACCGGGCTGGGTCTTTCCTAGAGGGGTTATTCTTAGCACTGCGGCAGCGGCGCCCCACGACATATTAATTGCTATTTGCCTTTTCCTAAAGCCGTTGTCACCAGAACTGTTAGGGACTACGTGAGATGAAGGTGCCAAGGTCCGTACAGTGGGGAGGGAGGGACAGACTGGACGGGGGAGGGGGCGCGTCTTGTCAACTGCCCCCCCACCCCGTTCCCATCCTGGCTCGTGGGTGACTCAGCCAGGCTGCTGGGTGCTCAACCTAGCTCCTGGGTTCTTAGCTACTGGGTACCCATCCTGGCCCCTCCGTGCCAGGGCTGCCAAGCGTCCTTCAAGGGAGCTGTGTGTATGTCGCGCACCCTACACCCAGGACAAAAGCATTTCCTAGTTCCAATACCCTTATCTGATCGTGGATGTCTCAGACACAACGGCTGGGGTCTTCCTTCCAGCTTCCTCTCCTTGTGCTAAGACCCAGGAAACACCAAACCACTCATCTTTCTAACCCAGGTGCCAAAACTTCTTGGAGCAGGTGCAACCGGGCGCCCGGCAGGTCCCAGGTCCGGGCTGGCCAGGCGCCCCCTCGCTCACCTTATCCAGGCAGTTGACTTTCTCCGTGGGATAAACCACTTTTCCGCAGCGGGCGCACTGGGGATTCATTGTCGCGGTTCCCGCGGGCGGTGGCTGTTGCTGCGGCGGGGGG